CCTCTAGCATGTAGTGAACCCGCAAATAAGGACAGTGTTGCACAACAAAAGCAGCTCGCAGTGCTAGCACCCCATATTGCAAAACGCTAAATGCGGGTAAAATTATATCGCACCTCCCACTCGCTGATTCAATAACAAGCCTGATGTAGGAAGAAATTAATAATAAGTTAAAAACCCCGCAGGAGCAATCATCCGCACACAAGTCGATACAGGCACGGATCCCAAACGCACTCTGCTGCACAGGTCCCGAGATGCGTTGCGGAGATCGTACATCACTTGGGCGTTTATTCCTGTCACAACGCGTAGTTTTCGTCGAGCGTCACGATCGTGGGGTATAACGTTTTTCGATTTACGCCCATTTTAATATAGCGTGGAGGGTGAGCGAGATTCAATAACAAGCCTGATGTAGGAAGAAATTGCTAGTAAGTTAAAAACCCCGCAGGAACAATCATCCGCACACAAGTCGATACAGGCACGGATCCCAAACGCAGAGACGACGTGTCCAGGGCTCTACGCAACCGGAGATCGTACATCACTTGGGCGTTTATTCCTGTCACAACGCGTAGTTTTCGTCGAGCGTCACGATCGTGGGGTATAACGTTTTTCGATTTACGCCCATTTTAATATAGCGTGGAGGGTGAGCGACTAAGTTATTGTTCGGATTACATTCTTCTTTAACCATTATTCAATTTTGGGGGGTCCTTGTTAGTAGGCGTTTGTTCAGCTATGTCCGTGCCTAGGGTTTGCGTGAGACGACGTGTCCAGGGCTCTACGCAACCGGAGATCGTACATCACTTGGGCGTTTATTCCTGTCACAACGCGTAGTTTTCGTGCTCGCAGTGCTAGCCCCCCATACTGCAAAAAGCTAAATGCGGGTAAATTTATATTCCACCTCCCACTCGCTGATTCAATAACAAGCCTGATGTAGGAAGAAATTGCTAGTAAGTTAAAACCCCCCAGGAACAATCATCCGCACACAAGTCGATACAGGCACGGATCCCAAACGCACTCTGCTGCACAGGTCCCGAGATGCGTTGGTCTCTAGCATGTAGTGAACCCGCAAATAAGGACAGTGTTGCACAACAAAAGCAGCTCGCAGTGCTAGCACCCCATACTGCAAAAAGCTAAATGCGGGTAAAATTATATCGCACCTCCCACTCGCTGATTCCATAACAAGCCTGATGTAGGAAGAAATTGCTAGTAAGTTAAAAACCCCGCAGGAACAATCATCCGCACACAAGTCGATACAGGCACGGATCCCAAACGCATTCTGCTGCACAGGTCCCGAGATGCGTTGGCCTCTATCATGTAGTGAACCCGCAAATAAGGACAGTGTTGCACAACAAAAGCAGCTCGCAGTGCTAGCACCCCATACTGCAAAAAGCTAATTGCAGGTAAAATTATATCGCACTTCGCACTCGCTCATTCAGTGACAGGCCTAATGTAGGAAGAAACTGGTAATAAGTTAAAACCCCGCAGGAGCAATCATCCATACACCAGCCGATACAGGCACGGATTCCCAAGGCACTCCCGTGACTTGTGTTGAATTCAAAGGCGTGGTGGAAGCGTTTGGTTTTGCCAGCTGTCGGTGGAAATCGGTGTAGTTCAGGTAGTTGTTTGATTCGCCAACGCCGCATCTTCGGTTTACTGCGTGTTACTCTACAGTGGCACAGATTTAGGCCAAATTCTTGGACTGCTTCGTTGCCGGGTGCCTATAACCTGCAGCACTAGCGCCGGCAACGTGGCGGTAGGCTTCAAGGAGAGGATAATCATTTACTATTGTTCTATGGTTGAGCATGTTTACCTGCACCCTTTCTGTGCTATCCTGTGCAGACAGCAGAAGCAATGCTGTGGAAGATTTAACTGGGTACCTAAGTGAGGGCCTCTCTAAGGTGAAGCGTCCTAAATGGAGGAAACGAGCGACGCACGATATTATCCTAGAACTACAACTGGAACTACCTCCTGCATTGTCCAAGGGGTACACTGAGCTGGCATGAGTTACCATATTAAGTGGGAGCAATTCGCTCAAGCCTGATGTAGGAGTTGTTAATAAGCCGCAAAAAATGATGCACAGGTTAAAAATAGGGCATGCGTCCCAACTCGCAGGAAGGGAATAAATTTGTGTGTTTGGCTCGTGCGGCACGGTCTCGCCGCCTAGAAAACACTGAGCGATGAAGTACTACTGGTTGCAAACAGCTTAGGGTGGGGAGCTCCAAATTATGCATTGCAGGGACCAATTCTCAGTGGAACCAAGTATGTCACCGACTGCGGATAGTGAGGTGACACGAGTCGCATATGCAGTGTAATGACTTCCGGCAACTCAGTCAAGCGATATATTTCTGAGCGTTTACCTTAGTTTGCTTTACCTGTGTGCTGTTATATTCCTGGATCCTATTCTCCACTTTGCTACCGTTACATTCGCCAGCAAGGGAGACTACCGGAAAAGGGCATCCGAGCGGGAGGAGTCACGTCCGGGGATCACAACAGACAAAACCTAACGAAGTGGATAGACCGACCAACGACTGCACGATCAGTGCCTTTCCTCTATGTGCATTCGTCACTGGAAAGTCTTTTCTTGACAGACCTGAAGCGGTAATCAGGTTAGGGATCCAAGAAGTGCTCTTGCTTTTTACACTTTTCCCCAAACTTCTGTTCCGTGCAGGTCTGGGGGAACCTTGAACGCCATAGGAGAGCCACACGCATGGCAAGGGCCCACTACTTTTCACTGTCTCTGCCACGCGAGCTGTGCGCTTGACATTACAGAGAGGAAACGAAAGGCCCCTGCTGTGGCTGTGCCCACTGCTGCAAAATACTCCAGACATCTGGGCTACTGCTTGCTGGAGTAGGTTAGGGGTCCACAACAAGGTTCTAGACAAGCCCCCAACGTCTACTCCGTGCAGGTATGTGGGAACCTTAAGTGAGGTAGGGAAGCTACACACTTGGAAGGAGACCGAATTATCACTTTCTGCAAATGCAACTTTCACGCTCGGTGAGAAGCGAAAGGCCCCTGCTGATGTACCGCACATTCCTGACACCTAAGCTACTGTTTGCTGGGCAAACTGGATGATCCATAAAGTGTGGAGGAGCGCGCAACTTTTGCTCCTTCCATGTATGGGGGACCCTTGTACACCGTAGGAGAGCCGCAGGCGTAGGAGGGGGCCATTTTTTATTCACCTTTTGCTGTACCAGCTTCGCAGCTGATGGTGTGCAGAAGGCAAAATCTTGACCCCTTCTGCTGTATCCACTGCTGCAGCGCATTCCTTATGCCTCAGCTGCTGTTTGCATGGCAGAGGCCGGTTACGCGTAGTGCTTCTGAAGACGCCCCCTACGTCTATTTCACACAGATATGGGGGAACCTTGAGAGCGAGAGAAAAGCTACAGACTTCCTCGGAGAGGCCACTCCACTTCAACTTCTGCAACGCAAAATTTGCGCTCGATGATGCAGAAGCGAAGCACATGACCCCTCCTGCTGAACCCACTGTTGCTCAGCGTCCCCTACATCTCAGCCACTGTTTGCTGGGGTGTAGAGGCACCGCACCCGAGACCGCACGCCCCAATTGGCGCACCGTTTCCACTATAAAGGCGCGGAATACGAATGCGCAACTGCTGCGGCTACACAACACCGAGCAGCAGCACTTGCCGACAAGAGATGTGGAGGCAAAAGAAGCACATCCGCAGCTCCCCCGTGCGGACTAGCCACGAGGGGCTGGAACGTCCATTGGAGTCAGATTGACAACCGAAAAACGAACAAACCAAAGTGCCAACGCACTGCTGCTGCTTTAGTTGTTCCTGCTTCTGTTTTTGCCGTTCAAAATGTCGCTGTGGATCACTCAAAGCCGATCATCTGGATTTGTCTCCTGACACAGTACTGCTGGGGGCTCCGCAAACACAGAGAACCTCATTCAAAGCAGTATATATATACACTGCCCTCACAATGGCAGTAGGCGATGGTCTTTACGGCAACTCCCTATGAAGAGACGAGCGGCTGTTCGGGCCCTCCACCACCTCTCATATCGGGTCCCCTTTCCGCAAGAACTTATTAGATTCAGAACGCAAGCTCCCCGGTTCACCCGACGGCCGGCGAAGCACTCACACTGTCTGTTCAGCTCTCTATGCTCCAATTTCACAAATTTCGCTTCCAAAGAAGCAAGGCCCTCCTAGGCCTCATGACTGCTGATGCAGTTGTTACTGCCTCCGTTCATGGCATCGGCGCAGCCGCTGCAGCCTCCAAGCAGGAGAGCTGCATGCCAGCCTTCTCTTAACAATCAAGAAATTTGTACCTACAGACAAAGGGGACCGCATCCTTCGGCCCCTGCTTCCCCCATTCGGGACCACATATCCCTTCAAAACGAGCAAGGATCTCCCACGCTCCATGGGAGTTCCTGTTGCTGCTACCGCTGTTGTTGCCTCTGAGCGGTGCTGTGACAGCGTCCAATACCGAAAGATGCAAGTCCCTCCCCTACTAATCAAAGAACTTGTATCTGAGAAACACGATACCCGATGATCTCTGCTGCTCCCCATGGGGGCCAAACGTCGCTGCCAAAGAAGCAAGGTCCTCCCGGACCTCATGGGGGAAGTTCCCCATGCTGCTGCAGTGTTTCTGCTTATGTTGCTGGTGTAACTGGTGTTATTGCTGCCTCCGTTGTTCCAGTGAGCTTTCGCTTCCGTGGCAGCCCGCCCTTAGGAGATGTCCACGTCGATTCTCTTTGGGTAGTCCAGGAATTCGTAACGCTGAATCAAGGGGATCCCGTTGCCTCCTGATGCCCCCCCTTGGGACCCCGAGCTTTTACGGAAGACGTCTTGCAGCTGCGCTGCTGCCATCTCCAGTACCCTTGCTACCCCCTCTAGGGCCCCGTCAATGAGTAGCACGCGCTCAGAATAGCCGCCCGACATCAAGACGCAGAGATTCCCCAGAGCAATATGAACCGTCGTGCCTCCTCCTCCTTGCAGAGCATGCAGCCCCGAGCAGTTGCTGCGCAGCAACCGCCCAACATACTCTCCTGGCACCACCAGGCACATCCTGTAGCCCCCCAGGTTGGAGCGAAGGCCTGGCCTGCTGGTGTCCGCGACCGCGAAAAGATCTGCACTCGCCCGCAGCAGCGAGATGAGGGCCCCCACAAACAGCACGCAGCGGCCGTTGGGGTACCCAGGAAACGAAGCAGCCTGCGCTGAAGCCTGAATGCGGCACCTATGGCTTTTCTCCAGCAAATCCACCCGCTTCCCTTGGAAGCCGAGCAACTTAACCACCAAGTTGTGGTCTGCACAGAACTTCAATACCGAGTGGCTATAACCGCGGTGAGAGACAGAAAAAGGGAACCTGAGAAGGAAAAGCAGCACCGGCAGCAGCAACAATTCTATGCACTAAACACACATGCATCGAGCGGCTCTTGAAAGCTTGCCACACTAGAGCGGCAATGAGCCGTCTGCTCGTTTTGCTGGGTTATATTCAGCTGCTCTCAACGGCAGCTGCATGTGGCCCACACGGAGAGAGGCACTCAGGCAAATGAAAGGGCACGCTGATGTTGTATCCGTTCGAAACGTTCAGCAAGTGTCTCCCCTTACTTGCTCAGAAACTGTTCAACGGAGGATACTCCGAAGGGCAGGACGGGGGTTGAGGGGTTGGGGGCGCTTCGGATCTCATCAGGTGTTTCCTCGGGGCAAGGAAGAGCACTGCCGCTCATTGCCCTCCACACAGGGTTCGAGCCGCCACTGTTACAGCCATCAGCTGAAGCGCTGACTTCACTGGAGGTGCCAAAAGGACTCAATGACTGAGCGCGCGAAGTTGCCACCCCCTCCTTCGCAGGCGCATGCAACCGTTGCAGAGCTTGTAGCCGCACCTGCTGCTGTTGCTGCTGTTGCACTCTTGCCCGCAGCTGCTGGTTCTCCCTCTGCAACAGAACCACCGCCTCCTTAAGGCGGGCCAGACACTCGTGCAGCTGAGCGGAACCCGCTGCATCGGCGATCTGCTGTGGCTGCTGCTGCTGCTGCGGGCGATGCAACAGCTGTTTCGCCTGCGTCAAGGCTTGCGCCCAGTGGCTGCCTACCGCGAGGCCGGTTGGGCTGCTGCGAATCAGCGGATCTGACTCTGAAGGCAGTAGCAAACGAGACAAACGCAAGCCTAGAAGAGGTTACATATAAATTATGCAGGTCCACGCCATGCTTGCACGAACCGACCAAGAGCACACGAGACAGAAAAACCACAAGATACGCCAGCCGAAAGGAACGCGGGTTCATATCGGCACGAGACTACAAGGAAACAGCAGCACTGTGCTCGAAGCGAGAAGAGCCACAAACACTCAACGAGAACTGAGGAGGAAAGACAGGGGGGAAGTTCGCAACTAGACCATATACCGGGTAGGGCTGCTCTCGTAGGCTGGAAAGAGCGAACGCACGAGCACAGCAAGTGCAGCAACAGCAGGAAGGGTGCATGCAAGGTACGTTTTGAGCGCAAGCTGTCTTTCTGACCACAATAGAAGACAGTCATATAGACGGTCCACGGGACAACAAGGCACACAACTCATGAAAGGCGTGCAACTCGAGAGAATGCTCACGGTTGTGAGGGCGGCCGTATTTGGTTCGCCCCTGAGTTCGTGACCTGCCTGTCGACCTCTGTTGCTGCTGTTGCTGCAGTTGTTGCTGCTGCTGTTGCTGTTGCTGTTGTTGTTGTTGCTGCTGCTGTTGCTGTTGCTGTTGCTGTTGCTGATGCTGTTGCTGTTGCGTAGCGTCGACCCCCACCGCCTCCGCAGCAGCCGCCGCGGCTGCAGCAGGGCTGGCAGCAGTAGCAAAGGGTACATCGTCCCCCACCCACATGCGTCCGTTGACGGATATATGTGTTGCAGGCATGAGGCCATCTAGGGTACACTCTTCTAACGAAGTTCTCCTTGGACTAGGAGCAGAAGAAGCCACCCCTGCCCCTGTTGTGCCTGCAGCACTTTCTGCGCTTGCAGAGCCTGCGCTGTTTGTGTGCAGCAGCCGGCACACCTGCTCCAGCACTACATCAAAACTAGCATTCGCGCTGTCACTGGAGAGAGCACTGGGGCGCGGAGGGGCACTGGCTCCGCCGCCGGACCCATCGCCAGCTCGCTGATGCTGCAGCAGCAGAAACTGCTGCGGCTGCTGCTGATCCAGTGGAGTCCCGTGAGGGGCACCCGGCTGATGCTGCCATGCTGAATAGTCACTACCCAGAGCAGGAGAATACACTGGTGAGACGCTGTGGGGCCCCCAAACGTCGCGGGGAGGGGAATCTTGAGGTGTATGGACAGCAGACGGGGGGGAAGGTAGTTGCTGCTGCTGCAGCTGCGTTGCAGCAGCAGCCCAGCTCTTGTAGTCAATAGGGTACGTCACAGGAAGCGAAGCAGGGGCCTCGCTGGGGGGAGAAGGGGACGTGTTGAAGGAAACACCAGGAGCCTGCACGATGCCTGCGGTGGAATCAGGGAACAAAGAAGGCTGCGAGCTCTGCTGTTGCTGTTGCTGCTGCAGTTGTTGCAGCTGTTGCAGCTGCTGTTGTTGCTGTTGCAGCAGCGTCTGCTGCTGTTGCAGCTGCTGTTGCTGCTGCTGTTCCATTATGCGTTCAAAAAGGGCCCAAGGGGATCTATCCCGTAGTCTGTCACAAACTTAGGGTCATGTTATGTGCACACGAATATGTTGCGAGTGTGTGTGTTGCAGCTGCTCTGAGCCGGTTACCGCTGCTGCTGCTGCGACTGCTACTGCTGCCGCTGCTGCTCTTCCGCCGCTACCAACCTGCCGAACTGATGCCTGGACCTGCCCGTATAGTCCCTAGAAGTTCTGCTTTGGAATCCTAGGGAAAACGCGGAGAGATGAAGCCGCTGTTTGAAATGCCTCCTCAAGGCCGAGGACACCCTAGGGAGAGGCAGGCCTCCGAAAGGGAGCACAGGGTCTCTGGAAGATAAACAAGAAGACTAAGTTAGTTGAACAAAAGATAACTAATGGAGAAAGCACGGGATAGAAGTACAAGATCGAGGACCGATGCGGCAGCACCAGTTGGTGCTGCTGCTGCCGTTGCTACTGCTGAGCATCAAAGGGGATCCTGCTGCTCCCACGACAAACGTTCGAGTTCTCCTCCCAAAAGAATAAATAGGAGGCGAAAACGCTAAGCAAAGCCCGCAGCTGCAGCTGCAGCGGCAGCGGTGAGGTTCAACGGAGAGTGCCACCCAGCACGACCAGCGAGAGAAAAAGAGGGACCAAAACCCCATCTATCCGCAGTCCCCGGCAAACATAAAACAGCACACTTAATTGCGCCACATTGAGTAGAAGAAGAGACAAAAAAAGAGGTCAGAAGCAAAACAAACAACCCATTGCAGCGCCGGTTCAGGGGATCATAGCAGGCTGATGGGCTGCCGATTGCTGCTGCAACTGCTGCTACTGCTGCTGGTGCAGTAACAGCAGCAGCACATCTGTTTAGACAAAGCACCCCCTGGTGTTTGTTCTAACTTCATTTAGCTCATCTGTTTGTTTTTATAAAGGCCCCATCTCCGTTGCTGGAAGATATATATTGCTGCTCCCCCTCTCCTGTACAATAGGGACTGAGGGGCCCCAGGGAGGCCTTGGTACGGCAACACCTCAAGCATCTTTAGCCCCTTCTGCAGTATGCCCGTCCTCTTCTCTACCTAGAGGTGTGTTGGGCCGCTTGGCCCCCCTTGGTCTGCTTCTTTAGCTGCTCTTCTCCAAGCTGTCTGCCTCCCTGAGCTGGGGCTGGCAGCACCGTCGTATCTCCTTCGGAGACCTTGAGCTGCCTGGAGAGCAACGGAGGACTGGGACGTTGCCTTGCTGGTTGTGCAGGCGCACGACAGTCACCTTAGCTTGTCTCCTGGCCTCCCCAGGCTGTCTCCTTTCCGCTCATTGGCCTCTCCCCCTGTGCTGCGTTTCCTCTGCTGAGCCGAGGCACTGCCAGAATGGAGTTGGATGAGGGGCCCCTCATGGGGCCAGGTTTGGGGCCCCCAGGAGCCTCCAGGGACACCCCCTCTCCTCATCCTACGGGGTTTTACTCTCAGTTCTTCTCCTCTTTTCAAGGGAACATCAGCCGCGCTGAGACGACTTTCATCAGAGACGGAGCAGCTTGTGGGGTCAGAGCAGATGGCAGAGGAAGAGCTGAGTTAAGACCCCGAGTGCTGGCTGTGGATCTGCTGCCGTTTAGCTGCAGCAGTGCGGCCATTCAGACGGAGGAAAATACCGTCATTGCCACTGTAGATGTAAGCGGAACAACGAATAAAACACACAGAGAAGGGGTAGTTGTGCTTAGTGGTTTTAAACGCAGTGTTCTCTTTGAGCTTCAAGCATCCTGATAGAGCTGTGGAGTACGCTGATGCAGCAGCTGCTGCTTCTCAACCTCCGAACGGGCTTCTGCACCGTCTAATTCCCTTATCAGCGGAGAATGGATAAGACCACTGCATCGTGCTTGGTTATATAGATACATATGTGTGCGTTGCGGTGGTATTTACAGGCGGATTTGATATTGCCAGGAGGGGGGGGCACCAACGAACCGTACACTGTGTCTGTGGGCTGGTGAGGGGACGGCGATAGGTTGTTTTCACCCATTTGTATTTGTAGCTGTTGAGGTAGCTATTACAGAAGCACAGAACTCCTTGCTGGACAGGAAAGGTTTTGTCTACCTGTGTGGATGAATGGGTTCATCGTTTACAACCTCCAGCAAGTTGCAGCGGGGGTGGAGCTCTTTGCTGGTGTGTTGTGCTACAGCGGAGCTGCGGAACAGGAATTGGCTGAGGTCACAGGGGGCGATGGGGGGTCGTTGTCAAGTCTTCTGCAGGCCATGCTAGAACAGCTGCTGCTGCCTCATCTCAAGCCTCTCAAAGATACTGACGGAGGTCTAGACTGGAGAATTTCCATAGATGTGATTGTGAGGAAGAGGGGTTAAGTTCACTTGGCTTTTTAGCAGAAAATAGAGAGGGGGCTGAACATTCATGTGTAGTCCAGCAGGCAGTAGCTATCTCATTAACAGTGCAGGCAGTTTGGGGATATGTCCGCAGGTCCTTAAAGCGGGAGGCTGTCTCCTGGACGCTGTCAGCATGGCCATATGGGGAGCGCTGAAGTCCCTAAAGTAAGACAACCCCTACAGCGGCAGCAGCAACTCGTTGTGTCTTCTGTCTTTTTTTTGTAGAAGCAACCCTTAATTGCGCCTGTGCCTGTGCAGACTTCCAAGTGTATTTGTAGAAGAAGCAGAGGAGAAGGATCAGGGGCTCGCGCATACGGAGTACAAAGTCTCGTGCGATGAACGGTCAGCTTATGCTAGTTTGGGTTGCCAGCTAGGGAACCCTTCAAGATCAGTTGACTTGCTAAGTGTCGGTGCATACCGTGAAGTCCGCAATCGCTGCCCGTGCCGTCTCTTATCTTCCTCCTCTGCACTGGACGCCTCAGCTTGCTGGCTATTTTTTGAGTCTATCTGCTGTGTGCACCATCTGTTTCCTTTGCAGAATATCAGCGGGAAAGCCATTTCCCATAGAGACGGTCCCCATCCTTATGACGGCGGCCCAGGTGAGCATTTTATCTTTCGTGTGTGTCTAGATTCACTTGTAACAGTCGCTGTTAAGTGTCGTACGTAGCCCTGCCCCTCTGTGGGTGATGTTCTGGAATATCACAAGTGTTCATAGTGAAAGGTCATTGCCTTCTTCTCCCGCATTACCTTGCTAGAGGTGTTGTTTCCCCTGTTCCAACGACTGGATTAAAACTGAGGGCCCCTCTTGGCGGCACGTGCCAACACATACCGGCGCGCCCACCTTTATTGTAGCTAGAACTCTATATGTTCGTAGATTGGAGACACTTATTTGTGGGACCTGACGGATGTTGAGGCCACATGTGGAGACAGTTTCTTAGTCGCGGCCTTTCTGCCTTCCGGCGCATGCGTGGGCTTGCAAAAATTTGGGCATGTTCTTGCTGACTGCCGCACCCTGCAAACGTCTCTTGCGGTAAGAAGCTTTTTCCGCTGTTGTTGCAGTCTGAAGTTGCTGCTTCTGTTGAGCGGGCACAGAGCCGCTACAACCAGCCATAGGCAGTGTTCTAGAGGGCGGGCGAGTTCTTGCATTTGAGAAGTTTCTGCAATCTCCTATATGGCGCTGATGTCTTCAGACGTCCCAGAGACTCAGCCGGGAAATACTGGAAGACCTGCATCGCCAGTCAGAGATGAAAAGGCCCTCTCTCAGAGGCAATTTAGATTCCTTCTTTGCGCTTTCTGCCCTCTAGAGGGGCTTTATGCAGCTGATACGTTGCTTTTGTCGGCTAAATAGGGGGGCTCTTATTAGCTTCACGGTGGGAGGAGTGGAGGGAACGGCAGTGGGGTCTTTGACCCCGATGGGGATTTGACTGAATTGCTTTAATGTAATGCTTTCTAAGTGTTAGAACTGTTTGATGACCGATTTACGGTTCAGTGTACTTTGCGGGTTTAACTGGCTGCCCAATTATTCAGCATGCCATCCTTCAATGCAGTCCGCCTAAGTGGCACATTGCCCCATTTGCTAAGGGCACCAGCAAGTAAACATACAAGGTAGATTAGCCAGATTACAAGGAGGTAGATTTATGGATCCCGCTGTAGATGTAGACGACCTCTGAATCTATCGTTGCAGAAGTGCCTTGGCACTTCCCTTGTTCCCTCGTCTATTCAATTTTGCATTTGAGTGTACACACAGTATAAGGCCGTCCTTCGTAGCACCATTTGCTAACATGCTGGGAAGATTGAAGGAACGGCCTTAACGTGGTGGTACGGGAGGGCTTCTTGGGGGGCTGGGACTCTTCAGGTCTGGCTGCACGCAATCCGGGGATTTCATTTATATGCTTCTTGTCTTATGCGTGCTAGGAACTTGAGTGACGAGGTTTTGCAACTTAGTGCTTTAGACACCGTTCGTTTTCGAAACCTATCGTGCTCTTGCACTCACGTACTAGTGACTAATTCCAGCGTACGTGCAAGCAGTAAAACAGTCTCCAACGTGAGTCCACTTCGGTGGCAACATTGGTTTTAACTGTGAGTTTGCTGGAAACAGCCTCACACAATTCCGCTTGTCGTTGCCCTCACTGGCAGGGAAAAGTTACACCCAAGCCATGACAAACGATACGATGCTCAGTCGTCCTCCTGCTCGAAATGCCTGTCGCAGTGCTACATATTCAGTCGACCCACCGCTCAGAACAGTGGGTCGTCTATACGCCCCTATGGCAAGACCTCGCATGTTTATGAGGAGCAGTCCATCCCTGTATTTCAACGGGGAAAGTGAGGCACAGGCCGAATAAATGCAAAGGGAAACGCAGGATGCTATTCTTGTGAATCCGCTTGACGAATGGTGCCTGTCGCCGGTGTATGGCCCTCCAGAGTGCAGCCCGAAGAGAAGCGGCAGGTTAAACAAGACTTCCGCCGGTCCCGTCAATGGTCGGAATATATAATTGAATAAAATACGTGCATATGCACAGTGGAAATGTACACTAGAAACCCTTAACGGGCAGCGTTCGATGCAACTGCTCGGTACCCTCCCCAGCTCACACACTTCAATTTCATAGTAAGTGAATTTGTGCTGCTACCAGTGATACTGCAGACACACGGTACCGAGGCCCTAGTCGCGCCCCCAACTGCGTGAATCTGCGACGATCCTCATTCCCCTTCTAAAACACTGCCAAGCCTCAGACCTCTTGCTGCCTATATGAGACTCAGGCTCACTGGGGGGTCTCAATTGTCTTCTGCGAACATCCCTAGCTCTTTTACTCCACTACAGAATGCTGTGGTATGCTAAGATCGTAGCATCTCTACATACACCAGCATATCTCCGATGAATATATAATATAGTTGGTAGACGAATCCCCACCCTGCCCTACCAGGCAAACGTTATGCCAGCAGGGGTCTTAAGACACTGGCCGACTGTGTTCACGCACATAGCCAAGAAGGTATGTTTGTGCCTTTGTGTGGGTTCGTCTTGAACCTTTTGTTGCAGCATGGTTTTGCAAGAAAGACCACCTTCCCTACCGCAGCTCCCCGCGCTTGACCCGTTGCGCTCAGGCCGCCTGGAGATTGGTTAAAGGCATCAGATTGGTGAAAGGCATCAGCCGCGTCTATGAAACCTTCATAGAGAGAGAGAAGTGTTTCGGCGCCGCCTAGGCCCACAGTAGAACTCAAAACCGAGGTCCCTCACAATACTGCAAAACTCCCCCATCAGTTTCTTAAACTGCGACCAGAAATCAGCTAACAACAGTTCAGCGCCGGCTGCCAACGGGATAAGCCCCTATCCTAGAGCTATTCCGCTTCTAGTTCTAATACAGACAGCTCCCTGCAACGAACGGCGCTCTGACATTCTAGGACACATCCACTGATATGCTACCCATATCTAATGGCATGACGATTTCGTACACTTCATTGTTATAGACTAACTATATAAAATATTCTGGCAAGGCTTTTTACAACGAAGCATACAACGCAAGGGATACAGCTTGACCTGCACGCTCAAGCCGAAGCACCGAACCGGTTGTTGCCTCGTCCGCCAGAACAGCACAGAAGAAGTCAATCAAATGGTATCTTTTTAAAGAATTTTATAGCGTATATTCGAATTTATTTGAGTTCTAATTATCAGGAGGCCTTAAGCATTGCAAAGTTCAGATGCAACACACTGCTACGGAGCGCTGTTTGTTGTGGTGACTACTGAAGGTTGAACTGGCTAAGAGGAGGAAAGACGATGCTTCTGCCTGTAGAAAGGAATGAAAAATGCGTGAAAACAAATAATCAATGGAGACAAAGCGTCCTTAATTTTTGAAAAGGCGGAGAAATATTGCTAGTACTTGCAACAAGCCCCTCCCCACCCTTGCGTCAGCGGTGCTGCTGCAGCTGTTGCACAGCAGCAGAGGTGGACTGCCGCTGCTGTTGCTGCTGCTGCTGCCGTTGCTGCAACTACCGTTGGGCGCAATTATCGTTCTCACTGTTGCTTCTCTGACATTCTCTCGTCTCTCACTTTCTGTCTTTTTTTCGTTATTTGGAGTTTTTGCGGCTTGCTGCGTTGTTTGGAACTCTTCTTTACTCCTGCGTCATACCCAAGGTGGGTACACTGCGTGCTGCATCAGCCCAAAGCGGTGCGCGTGCTGCTTCGGCGGGCGATTGGTGTATTTTCTCCTTCCTTTTGACAAGTTTTTAGTTCTTTCTATTCAAAGTGCCTCTGCTTCACGGTGTCTTGTTCGTTTGCCATTCAAGTTCACGCTTTTAGGCTCCCGGGCTTTCGCTCGCGTCCCGCAAGGGTTGCGGCGTCAGCCGTTTGTTTTTTCTTCGCGGATTGTCAGGGCTCGTGCTTGGCTTCCTTTTTAAATCTGTTTGTGTTTGTCGTTTTGCTTCGGGGAGCTTTTGTTGAAGCGGACGCGCTGTTGCGGGGCTGGCGGCGTGTCGCTGTTTGCTGCTCCCGCTTGGGTCTTCAGCTGCTGCTTTTGATGCTGCTTTCCGCTCTTTTCAGGATACACTTATGTCCCTCGACTTCCAGAACCTCGGCGTCCCCGACCCATTCGCCAATGACACCACCAAGGCTGGTGGTGTCGGCGGAAACGCTTCAACGCATCTCATTCGTAAGGCAGCAAGCTAAGGCTATCCCATGTGCTTTGTATTCTCTCTCGCCTAGGTGTACGTGTATGTTGACATGCTGGATCGCATAGGGAAGGATGCGGTGTATGTTACTAATCGCATAGCGTGCCTTCGTGGATGCTTCCATGCGGATTCCGCACGGTCCCGTTCATGCGTCTCTTGCCGCGTAGTTCGTCGTTGTTTCGTTCCACCTGCAGCTGCCGTGGATGGTGGAGTTTGCCTCTGTCAGTTTCGTTTATTTGGTGTATGTCCTTGGGAAGGCGGGGAAACAGGAGGGAAGCATCGTATATTTCTGTCGTGTGCGATTGTTTCTCTATTACCGCAGATATAAGGAATCAGCAGCGCAATGGCCGCAAGAGCGTGACGACTGTGCAGGGTCTGCCCAAGACCTTTGACTTAAAGAAGATGGTTCGAGCCCTCAAGAAGGAGTTCAGTTGCAACGGAACCGTCATAGAAGACCCGGAACACGGGAGTATTATTCAGCTACAAGGGGATCAACGCCAGGCGGTGAAAGAGTTCCTGGAACGCGAAGGTATCTGCGGCTCGGAGCAGCTGAGGATACACGGAGTGTAGCGGCGTGGTGCTAATTTGGTGAACCCCTTCACAGCAGCAGCAGCGGAGGTGGTGGTGTCTTGAACTGCATGGCAGCAGATTCGTGACATCATCATCGATGTGTCGTGAGCTAGCTGCTGTTGGCTGGGCGTACACACGAGATGTGCTATCAGCCTGCGTTGGGGAAAACGAGCAGCAACGGCGACCTCCGCCAAGTCGTGAAGGTTTATGGTGCCCTCCTCTTCAATTGCAGCTTGTATAGCTTCTGCATGCATGCATGCGTGCATGCTGCGTGTAGTGCTTCTGTGTTCGGGTCTTTGGTGCTGCGGGTTGACTGAGGTGGTGGATTGAAGAAGGAAACGAGGAGGGAGTCTTGCAGTAGATCTTATATGTAAATATATAAGTTCGCATTTTATGTATATTTACGTATAAATATTATATATTGTTATTTATGTAGAGGGTCGGGGCCCCTAAAGTGCTAGCGGGTGTGCAGCAGCAAGCAGAGCAGATGGTGTTGAGCTTCTTGTCTGACGTGGAATATGCTCCTGATGATGATCATGAGGGGCCTGCCACCAGCACATCTGCTGTTACCTGCTGCACCTCTTCACCCACAGCTGGGGATGAGGGGAGAAGGGCGGGGGGCCCTCCGTAACATCGCTGGACTTAGTAGAGAGGCGTTCCTCTCGAGCCACAAACAGCGCCCAAGGAAACTCGATCTCTGGTTAATTGGGTGGCATATGCAGCTTAGACTGTACTGAACATACACCACAGATGCAACGCAGTAGACTTGGCTGTGCGCTTAGGTAGCTGAGCCGCATTTTAGCTCAAGTAGGCAGCGAGTGCAGCAAACAGTGCTGCAGTTGAGCAGGACGGGTGGAACTAGAGGGATACTCGAGAGCGGGGTCAGGCAGAATGACGAATGATAGCTATAGCCGATGAACATCTGGTTATTAGTTGGGGAGGAAATGCTGTGGTTATTCACAACTGTAACTGCCGCATCGCATCTCAGCAAGCACTAGGAACACCATCTCCTATGGACGTTTGTGTGGTCACAGTTGCCGTGAACGTGTCTTAGCAGGGTATCACAAACTACAGAACTGTGTGAGTAGTAGATGCAGGATGAAAAAAATGTTAGTTGTCGTCGGTCATTGGCGCATCCTTGCCCCTCAGGGGAGACGATGAGGGCAGGACGAAACCAATGGGGGGCCACTTTCATCGCCTTTCCATATCTCGTGACTGCCACATACAACCCTCTGTACACTTCTGGCTTGGGTAGTGGATTGAAGACTGCCAAAAGCTCTACAGAGGATACCCTTAATACCCCTGAAGAACCAAACAATAAGTGGCCAGTACATATATACTCAAATCTAAAGGCATCGTAAGTGCGTATACACAATGTATGCATATATTAATTTGTGAAAGTTACATGTGTGACATTCTGTAAAGAAACGAAAAAACAAGTAGCCCGATAAAGAAGCTAATGGCCTCCACAAAATACGGAAAAGAAAAAGCTCAGGAACGACTGACAAACAATGGCACCACCCCTAAGAATGGTTTCTTAGACTCCACGACGCTTAGGCGTATCTGCAGATAGAGCAAACTTAAGACCTTATTTTACAATGTACAGGGAAACAATACAATGCATTAAAATGCGTAAGGACAGTAAAAATGACTTGTTTGAATGCTTGCTGGTCGGGGCTGCATGCATGCGAACGGCGGCGGCGTTCTGTGATCTGCCCTACTCGGACTCTACCACTCTGCTTGTTTGCTCGATTCCTCGCAGTACAGGCTTAGTCTTTTTTGGTTCATTTCTCTTGATGCATTGACTACAAACAGCTCTGCGCCTGCTTTTAGGGGCGGGGCTTGTCTGCTGCATGCGCGAGCACTGCGAGGGTTCTACCCCCATGCTGTAGAAGAAAGCCCTTTCTAGGAGGCGAAGGAGTTGTTTTATTTTGTTTAATTTGGTTAAAGTGCATCTAGGGGGGGGGAGGGACAGGGGGCAAGTGCCCCCAAGTTCTCGTTTTCATATTAGTGGCTGCTAGTGCTCCTTGTACTCCTCGGAAAAGAGTTGTTTGGAGACACAAAATGGAGCAGCTGGAGAGGCTCAGCCTCGTCTCTCGCATTGCTACAGAGCTGCACAACCACTGGGGCATAAGCGACAAGGTAGGCGACGGTTCTGGCGGCTTAGTGTTCCGGGTGTAGGGTGTTAGGCTGAGGATTTTACTGGCTTTTTAGCCCTTTTGGCTTTGGCTTCGGTGTAGGAGCTGATGGGTAATCCGTGACGTTGCTCATGCTTTTCCGTTTTACATGTTTGTTTGTCCATTTGCGGTGGTACTCAGGATTTGGCGGAGTTCGTTTTACACCTCGGAGAGGAGTCCCAATCACTAGAGGAGTTTCGAGCAAAGCTGAAGGCCAACGGTTCGGCAGTTACGCAGGCCCTTGCAGTGAGTCTGTATACCTCAATATCGAAGTTTGTTGCCCGCACCAAAGCACCAAAGCCATCAGGAACGCCCGGCAGCAGCAGCAGCAGCAAAAGCAGCAGCAGCAGCAATGGAGGGAATACCAGCAATCCATCCCCGCCCTCTGTTCGAGGATCCAACGACGCAGCGGCCTCTCCACTTCCTGGCAGCAGCGGCAACAACAGCAGCAGCAGCAGCAGTGGTGGGGTGAAGCCACTTCCGGCGACGGCGTTTTCCTTGTCTCATCATCCACCGACGGAGAAGGAATTGAAATTCCCTGGCCTGTGCATGCAAAACCGATTTGACCGTCCCGAGTTGCAACTCGCACGACCAGATGAGAACGCCCCTCTGTCTGCGCATGCACAGCGATTGCTGGAGAGAGAGAAGGACGACAAGGAGTTAATGAAGGAACAGCAGGAGGCCTTCAACAGGGCCAAGAACGAAGGGTACTGGGGAGGGAAAGATAGCAAGAACAGTAGCAGCAGCAGCAAAGGCGGGTTCAGTGCCACGGGAGCGAACGCCCTGCCCGTCGGTGGAGCAGCAGCACCAGCAGCACCAGCAGATGACAGTCTTAACTTTTGTGGGAGAAGGGGGGCCCCCCTAGAGCGGTACGGCATCTACGACGGTGTTGTCTCCCGCGTTATGGAATATGGGGCTTTTGTTCAGTTGGATTTAGCTGAAGGAAGAAGAGAAGGGCTACTTCATGTGGCAGACATGAGCAGACCCGATGGGGGTCCCTGCGTCAGCACGTAAGCACGGGATCGTCTGTTTCGCACAGCCTTCATCTCCTCATGCGGCTGCTTTAGCAGTGACGGATTAGAAGAAACAATAACAGACGGGCGGAAGAAACGACCCATGAAAGCGCAGAGACAGCAGGGCAGTGACGCCATTCTTTGTTGTCTGCTTTGCTCGTTGTAATTCAGAGACGCAGTGCGCAAGGGGCAGATGGTGAAGGTCAAAGTGCATGCAATAGCAGGCAGTCGGCTGTCTCTCACAATGCGAGAGGTCGACCAAGCCACTGGCAGGGACCTCAAGCCCAGGAACGCACAGGGAGCAAACGCCCGTAAGACAGTATACATGCAGACATGCGTACATGCGTGCACCTGCTAGGTGTGCATGTACAGATGTGGTGCATTCATGCTTGCATGCGTGCATACATTTGCATGTGGTGCATGCTTACGCGTTAGCACGTGGTGTATGCGCACATGCATGCGCATGCAGCACAGGAAGGTGGAAGGGAGGAGGGAGACGGAAAGGGAGACTGTTTGTCTCCTGATAGAAGATCATGCCACTCTAGCTTGTGGTTACGCTGCAGCAAATTTTTCTTCCGATGTTTGTGTGGTGTGTGTCCCCTGTCTTTGGGTCTCGTGCTTTGTGCCTTTGCTGCTGTTGTGAAACTCGAATTTTTTGTGGGCTTCATGCAGCCAATGCCGCCGCTTGGTGTTTCTGCTGCAGCTGGGTCTCGCGCTGCCTTATTCGAGTCTCTAGCTGAAGAGCATGCGCAGGCCCTAGAAAAGAAGGGGCTAGGCCGCATTACAGGAGTTAAGATCAACATCGAGTCTACAGAGGAGGAAACGGCTTATGCGCGCAAAAGAAAGTAATCTAGACGCAAACAGTCTACCCCTATTATTTCATCTCCTCTCTCCCCCTGCATGGGTGCCCTACAGCCAATAACGTGATATGCCGTCCCGCATGCAGCAAAACTGTGCAGCCTAGGGTTTGTGGTTAATGGGCTACAGCTCAAGGTTTAGGGTGTGCTCAGGTTAATGTCGGACTACGACAAGTGGGAGGCGCAGCAGCTGCAGCGCAGCGGGCTGGTGAGCAGTAAAGAGAACCCTTATTACGATGAAGAAGCAGGAGGGTTGCTTCCTTCCCAGGAGGCAGAGGAGGACGTGGAGATTGAAGTGGTTGACGAGGAACCCTTATTCCTAAGGGGGCAGACTACCAGGGCCGGTGTGTAAACCCTAGACCCTAGCCTAGACCACGCTTCAGACCCTCAGCTTTTCCAGCGTGTGCTGCGCAGGAGGGGGTTAGTTGCACTGCGTGGAAAAGGTCGGACTGTGTCGCACAGTGGTTGCTGCGTGAAGGTGGTCGTCTGCTTCAGGCATGCAGTTGTCCCCTGTGAAGATCGTTGCCAACCCAGATGGGTCTCTTGCACGTGCAGCTGCGACGGCGCAGTCGCTTGCAAAGGAGAGACGAGACGTCAGGTGGGAGATAGCTGCTACTGGCAGCATGCATCGCTGCTGTGTCGGGGCTGGAAGATGCTTACACACGCGCTTGTGTGCTTATGTGCATGCATACCTGTATGCATGTAGCTGTGCAACTTCACGCATGCAAGTGAACATGCGCGTACGCACACGATCGTTAGCTCTGCCTCTGCAGGTGATTTCTGTGCGTACTCGCGAGCTAGCTTGTGGTGTACACGTGGGTTTTCATGCTTCCTTGGTAGTGCATGCATGCATACATCTCTGGGTGCTTGCCAGCACTGTGCACGTAGCTTCTTGCACGCACTTGCATGCGTTGGCAAGGACGAGACTGACCGAATGTAGCAGTTTGCGTGGAAACAACGGTGTTGTGACGTTTCACTGAAGCTTTTGATCCTGGTTCATGTCTCTACCGGCTAGTGTTGCGTCTGGTGCTGCAGTTGCCGTTGCTATTTGTTTTTTTTCGAATGGTGTTTGCAGACAGGCTCAAGAGGCCGCCATCCTTGACTCCATCCCCAAAGACATGTCCCGACCGTGGGAAGATCCGAACCCGCAACCTGGCGAAAGAACAATTGCTCAGGCGCTTCAAGGCCTGGGGCAATCAGGTAGTGATCGCCTGTCTTCTTAGTGCTGCTGTTACGCCTTGCAGCAGCAGCAGCAGCTGCGGCGGCTTGCCGGCGTTGCCACTGCTGTTGTGGCTCCTCCTCGTTCCGCAGCTGCTGTGCATAGTTGTGCAGTATCTGATGCTGTATTTCCATTACTGCTGCTGCTGCCACCGTCTTGCTCCAATAGCGTCGATCTTGGTTGCATGTGTGTTTAAGGGATTGTGCGTGTACTTGGGTGTTGTGTATGTAGAAATCTGTATATGGGTGAATTTGTGTTTATGTAGCTGTTGTGTATGTAGAAATATGTATATGGGTGAATTTGTGTTTATGTAGCCATATATGTAAATGTGTATGCATGCATGCATAACTGAGTGTATGTACACCGCGTTGAGATCGGTATTGTCCGTGCTGGTTTGGATGCAGGGTATGAAGTGCCGGAGTGGAAGAAGTTGTACTTGGGAAAGAATGTTTCCTTCGGTATCAAGAGTACCCTCTCAATAGCTGAGCAGCGGCGTTCTCTGCCTATCTACAAATTAAAAGAGCAGTTGTTGAAAGCCATAACAGGCAACCAAGTCCTCATCGTCATCGGGGAGACGGGCAGCGGTGCGTAGCGGCTCTCTTTTTGCAGGCAGCTCCGTTCTTTGGGGGGGCCTTGTGCCTTGATTGCTGCAGACCGTAGTGTATCCAACTTTTGTATTCTCTGTGTGCTTCACTAGGGCGTAGACGTATCTTCCTGGGCCGCAGTTGTCTCTGGTTTCCTGTCTCGTGTTTGGGGATGGATTGAGTGCGAGTCTGTGCAATAAAGCATGCATGTGTGCACGCAACCTCATGGCTATTTGCCTGCACCAGCCGCGTAGCCATCCCGGCAAGCCCTTAATTTAATATTCGTCTGTTTTGCGTGTATATTTGAACAGGAAAAACCACGCAAATGACACAGTATATGGCAGAAGCTGGCCTGGTAACCCCTGGCCGGCTCATAGGCTGCACACAACCCAGAAGAGTTGCTGCAATGAGCGTTGCAAAGAGAGTAGCGGAGGAGTTCGGCTGCCGTCTTGGACAAGAAGTGAGGGTTTAGGGTCTGGTGTTCCTGCTGTGTGGGCGCATGGAACGTGCTGGTGCTTTTGGGTTTGGGGTTTTGATTCACAGATGAGGGCGGAGGGAAAACAGTCTATGCAGTCGTTAAGCGGCGAGCACCATCTTTTGCTTGAGCTTCTTGTCTTGGAGGCGGGCTGCGTATGGTGTTGATGGTTTTAGGGATTAGTGTTGAGGGTTTCGGGTTTGCGATCAGGTGGGGTATTCGATTCGTTTTGAAGACTGCACCTCGCCAGACACAATAATAAAGTATATGACTGACGGCTTGTTGCTGCGAGAGGCGCTTGTCGACCCGCGGCTGCAGCGGTACTCCGTCGTGATGCTGGACGAAGCTCACGAGCGCACCATCAGCACCGACGTCCTCTTCGGCCTACTAAAGGTGCGCAGCTAAATCCTAAACCCTCCGAAGGCCCTTTTGGATGCCGCCAAGAAGGGTTAGGGCTGTGACTCTTCTCTTGTGCGATTTAATAATTGATGAATGCTTACCGGATTTGTGCTTTCATTTTGCTGTACGTTTTTGTACCCTAAAACATGAATATGGTGCCTTGCGGGCGCGGTTCGATGCACCGCCTTCCCTTCTCCGCTTCATCGGCGCTGCTTAGTGCATTCAATGGCCTACGCAGTGTCAACAGAGAGGGGGCGGCAGATTCTGTCCTCGCCCTTTGTATCTCTGTTTCTGTTTCTCTCTCATTCACTTTTGAAGCGGTACAGCGACAGGGGAGGCAGGTGACGGCTGCGTGGTCTTCAGCGCAGGCGACAGATACCCTCCCGACAGGCAGTTTGGTAGCTCTTTGCTTTTGCTTCCGTTGTACATTGCTCTTTGTGTGCTCATGGGTTTTGTTTGTCTCTTCTGTTTTGTGTCAGCCTGCGTTTGCTGCTTCTGCTGTGTTGTGTTTGGTTTCGGTTGTTGGTTGTGCTTCTGCTGGGTCTCGTTTTGGTGTCTCGCGGTTTGCTGGAGGAGCTGTGGCGCACAGTCGCTATGGGTCTGCACTTCGCTTGCGTGTGCTATTGAGCGCGGTCTCTTGTAACGCGCCTGCACGCAAGCATGCATGCAGGGGATTTACAAGCCATCACACTTCATATGGGTTTTGGAAATGGTGGCTGGCTGTTATTTTGTTGCATAGGGCTATGTGGGGCGGAGCGTATTACTGAGGAGTTCTGCTGTGTTTGCCATTGTGGTGCACATGCACGGATGCATGCAAGCATGCATGCATGTATTTGTTGTGTTGAGATGTATTTGGAGTGTCTTGCGTGGCAATGCGCGTGGGATATTTCAGGAGTGTTGTCGACAGCGACCTGATTTCAAGTTGATTGTCACTTCTGCGACGTTGGATGCGGAAAAGTTTTCAAATTATTTCTTCAATTCCAGCATTTTCACTATCCCTGGTCGGACGTTCCCAGTGGAGATCCTGTACACGAAGGAGCCTGAGACCGACTACGTGGAGGCAGCTTTAATTACGGTGCTGCAGATACACCTCTGCGAACCCCCAGGAGACATCTTGTTGTTCCTTACGGGGCAGGAGGAGATCGACACCACATGTCAGACACTCCACGAACGCATGCAGCGCCTCGAGTCGGCAAACCCGCCTCCCCTCATCATTCTCCCCGTCTACTCTGCCCTCCCTTCGGAGGTCCAAACCATGATCTTCGACCCTGCCCCCCCAGGATGCAGGAAATGCGTCGTCGCAACCAACATCGCAGAAGCCTCCCTCACCATTGACGGTAAGCAGACCCAGGGTCTAGGATTGAGACTGTAGGCTCTAAAGTGTAGGATGTAGGGCCTGGAGTAGTGTAGCGGCCGGCAACCTCACGTTGCTCATGTCTGAGGGTTAGGATTGAGGGTTTAGAGTTTTGTTTGGGGTTTGCCTCTGCTCAGGTATTTATTTTGTCATTGATCCAGGTTTTGCCAAGGTGAAGATGTACAACCCCAAGTCTGGCATGGACGCTCTGACTGTTGCACCCATCAGCCAGGCCAACGCAAGGCAGAGGGCAGGGCGAGCAGGACGCACGGGTAAAGCCAAAGCGCCCAAGCCTAAATCCTAAAATATACCCGTGTTCGAAGCCTCTTGTGCCTAGTGTTGCTGTTGTAAAGCCATGGGTTCCGTCGCTCTGCACCTCGTGGCTTGTTTCATGTCCCGGTATAAGGGGAGCATCGAACTTCTTTTATTTGTCCCTCGTTTCCCTGTGCTGCCCCCTTTTCATTTTGGGTTTTTGAGGGTATTCGTTCTCTGTGGTTGTATCGTACCATTGTTTGGACTGTCGTCTGAATTGCTTTCCAAGAAAGCAGCAGGAATAGCATTCGGAAGCCATAAACTGATGATCCTAACCTGGAGTAGTAGCATCATGAAATCCTGGAGTGTGGGGTCTTGCATGCGTGTAGGCCCTGGAAAGTGTTACAGGCTTTACACGGAGGCAGCGTACAGGTGCGAGATGCTGCCTACGGCTGTTCCTGAAATCCAGAGAACAAACCTGGAGAACACCGTGCTGCTTCTGAAGGCCATGGGGGTAAACGACCTTCTGAATTTCGACTTCATGGACCCCCCGCCGGTGCAGACGCTGATTAACTCCTTAGAAACCCTCTTTGAGCTTGGGGCTCTAGACGATGAAGGCCTCTTGACCAAACTGGGAAGGAAAATGGCAGAGTTTCCTATGGAACCCCAAATGAGCAAAATGCTGCTCACATCGGTCGACCTCAAATGCAGCGACGAAGTCATCACCATCGTGGCAATGCTCTCTGTCCAAAATGTCTTCTACAGACCGAAGGTCAACTCCCACAACTAATACCATTTTAAACTATTTCAAACCACTTAAAACCCGGCACTGTAAAGACCCATCCAGTAAAGTGCACCGAATTCAGACCCAATACCGTCTGAACACAACACCTGAACCCCCCGATTTTTCTTTCAGGGAGTTTGCGTTGGATGTCAACACCGCTAAGGCTCGACTTCTTTCCCTCACAGGTCCTCAAAGTTGCATGCAGACTTGCATGAACGGCTTCGCGCTGTTTTGTTTCCGTTTCGCAGGACCGGCAGGCGCTAGCTGATCAGAAGAAGAGCGGCTTTCATCAGCCGGAGGGGGATCACATCACCTACTTGGAGCTGTACCGCGCCTGGCAGCGTAACCGCTTCAGCAATGCGTGGTGTTACGAGAACTTTATTCAGGTTCGTGAGGGCTAACTACAGTCGGATGCTCTAGCTGTACATACACATCGCTGGCACGCGTACGCGAGCAACATGCACACCTGGAAAGCAAACGCAGACCCCACTGAGAAGGGATGCAGCGATGGAGCAACCCCCTGTGATGTTTTGCCTGCCTGCCTGATGCGCTGCTGCACAACTCTTTCTGAAGCTCACCTGTCTTACCACTTGGCGATATTCTGCTGCTGCTGCTGTCTCCTGTGTAGCATCGGGCGTTACGGCGCGCGCAAGACGTTAGGAAGCAGCTCATTTCGATTATGGACCGATACAAGCTTGACATCATCTCAGCAGGCAACGACTACAAACGTATCTGTAGGTGCTGCTGCTTCTGCTGCTGCCGCTGCCCTGCCTTGATGCTGCTGCGGCTCAGGTGCTGTCGGTTAGTTCACCACCAGCAGCCGCAGTAGTACCAACAAAAGCAGAGGCATCCATGATCACCCATGGCCACAGTAGCTTGTGGTGTAAAACCTGAGGGTGACATTGGCTCTGGAGCGACGGTGCAAATGTATATGGTTGCATATGTGTATTTATGTGAATATATTTCGATACAAATCAATAATATATATGTAAATATATATGTGCACGTACATACATAGGCACAACTGTATTTAAATGTTTATACTTATATTCCCTGGAGAGTTTAAGCCGGGTTGTTTAACCGCAGGAAGACCCGCGAAGCAGCGCCTGGTGGTGGCTGTGGGGATGAGGCAACAGTGCTGCTGCGGAGGCAGTTTCGCTGCTGCTGCTGTTGATTTGCTGTTGCTTTGGGTTCGCTGCTGCTGCTGCTGCAGGCCGCTGCATCTGTGCCGGATTCTTCCGACACGCCTGCAGAGTAGACCCGCAAGAAGGGTATAGGACTCTCGTAGATCATCAGCAAGTGTTCATGCACCCATCCAGTGCCTTGTACAACCGGTACGTCTTGCACCTACTCCTGCTGCTGGTTCTGCTGATGCTGGTGTCGTAGCTCCGGCTCCCGCTGCTGCTGCAGTGGCAGCAGCAGATGCCGGCTTTGCTCATGTGTCTAAGCCTGCTTGTTGATTAATTGCCCCCCGACTATTTGAAATAGTCCTTCTGTGAAAGATTCTCCTGCTGGTGCCGCTGCCGCTGCAGGAATCCCGAGTGGTTGGTTTACCACGAGTTAGTGCTGACTACGAAGGAGTATTTGAGGGACTGTTGCACCATCGAGCCGCTTTGGCTCTGTGACGTGGCTCCAAAGCTCTTCAAGCCTGTGCGACTGCTGCTGCCGCCGCTGCTGCATGTTTGCTGTTGGCATTGCTGCTCCTACTGTTGCATGCGCTGCTGCAGTGGGTGCGACTGCACGGCTCTTGGCGCTGTGTGCGTCGTTTACTCCTTCGCTGCTGTTGGCAGTGGGAGTGTCGATTTGCTAGTGAGGCTACTGCTGCTGGTGCTGGTGTCTTTGGGTGCTGCAGGCAGACCAGCAGCGTCTTTCTCGGCGGAAGATGCGGGAACGCATCGAACCCCTGTACAACAGATTCGAAGAGCCGAATGCTTGGAGGCTGTCACGCAGACAGGGCAAGAGATAGCTGTCCCCATCAGCTGCTGCTGCAGCTCCAGATTTTCGCTTTTGCAGCAGCAGTTGCGGTTGCAGTTTTGCCGCGCTGCTGCTGCTGCTGCTGATGTGCTGCAACAAGGGTATCCTTTGGGGCTTTTTAAAACTTGCGAAGGCCCATTTGGCTGCAGCAGCAGCGAGTGCATGTGTTTGCATGCGGCTGCACTCGAAGAGGGAGCAGCAAATGCAGTGAGGTAGCAGCAGCAGCAGAAGCCTGTGTTACTACAGCAGCGTCTGCTGGTGCTGCAATTTATAACAGCTGAGGTTTATCTAGGCCTCTTCTCTTTTTTGTCTACTCTGAGGGTCCCTACAGTGGCAAGCTAGTTTGCTGTAGTAGTATCGAGCCGCTGCTGTGTAATGGCAACTGCAGCAGGCGCAGCAGAAGATAGTAAATGGGATATTTGCGTTACAACACATATTTCGAGGAATTTAGAAATATTAAGTTAGTATTGTTGTGGCATCAACAGCTGCTGCTGTTGCTGGTTAAGCTCCCGCAACTGCTGTTGTTCCATTTGATGCTGTTGGAGTTGCTGTTGTTGCAGTTGTTTTTGTTGCAGTTGCTGCTGCTGCAATTGCTGCTGCTGTAGTTGTTCTTGCTGTGGCAACACTGCCTGCAGCAGCTCCTCCCTGTTGTGGTGCTGTTGCTGTTGCACGCTGTTGGTAGCAAACGCTAAGGTTCCAGAGCCACGGAACAATGCGGATGGGTCTGCAGGATGCTGCTGCTGTTCCTGTGGCACCGGCAGCAGGTTAGCCTGCGGCTCCTGCTGCCCCTGAAGACGCACAAAGATGGGCGACTGTCCAGCTGTGTGGTGCAATACACAACTGCGCTGTTGTTGCTGCTGTTCTAGAACTCTGCACTGGTGCGGGAAGTGCGGCCAGGCGAAGCTTCTATGTGGCTGCTGGCCTTGCACCAGTAGTTGCTGTTGCAGCTGCTGCTGCAGGCGATGCTGCATGTACTGCTCTTGCTGCTGCCGGACAGGAGACAGGGCAGGCGTGACCATGGAGCAGTGCCTCCTGCTGCTGCAGCACAACCCATCATTTTCGCCTGTAGCAGCAACTGCTGCAGCTGCTTCAGCTGCTGCAGTGGCGGGTGAGGCTGCTGCACACCACCTGCCAGTTGGGCTGGTGCACCTGCGCCGAGCTTGCAGGCAGCCACTGCTGCTGTTGCTGTTGTTGCTGCTGCTGCTACTGCCGCCCCTTCTGCTGATTTGACTCTTGCAACGAGTAGCACTGCTGGCATTAGCAATGCAACTGCTGTTCGCGCCGTGGTTGCTGGTTCTGCTCCTGTTGCAGCCGCAGCTGGTGCCTGCCGCGAAGGGGCTTCCACAGGTGCTCGGCACTTGCAGCAGCAAGTTCTTCTGCCCGGCAGCTGCTCCTCCTCCTGCTGCGCGTGCTCCAGCTCCCGTTGCTCCAGCTGCTACTGGTGCTGCTGTAGATGTTGGCGGTGCTGTGAGATCTGAAGCCGCGTGCCAACACAGCTGCTGCTGGAGTTGTTGCTGCTGCAGTTGCTGCTGCGCCTGCTGCTGCTGCTGCCCCCAGGCCATGGGGAACAAAGAATTGATTGGAGGGAGCTCGAAGTGTGGACTACCTGTTGTTGGGGTTCCGCCAGAAGCAGTAACAGCGTCAGAAGCTGCTGCTGCTGGCGCAGTATTTCTCCGCGGACGCAGTAGCTGCTGTTCGTGCTCCAGCTGCCCCTGTAGGCAGTGCTGCTGCTGTTGGTGCTGTGTGCTGGACTGCTGAAGCAGCATGGCCTCACAGCTCCTTCGCATGCGGCGAACGGCAGCTGAGAGTTCCTGCAGCGCCTCTGCAGCAAGGCAGTCAATTGCCGCTAAAGCAGCAGCAGCAGTAAACAACCAGCTGCTCCTGCTGACACCGCGCCCACCCCACAGAGCCTCTTCCATTGCTGCAAGCCTCTGGAAGGCGGGATTTTGCTGCAGCAGCTGCCGCTTCGCTGCCCCCAGCTGCTGCAGCACCTGCTGGAGCAGCTGCCGCTTCTCGGCCACCACATGCAACAAACACCTCATGTCGTCTCGCTCAGCAGCAGCAGCCGCTGCAGCAGCTGCTGCTGACGCTGCGGGGGGCGCTGGTGTTGTTTTTGTTGCTGCTACCATCCGCAGCCCCACAGCGAATTCGCGCGTCAGCTGTTCACGAAGCAGCATCAGGTGCACGTACACCTCAGCATCTGGGCAGAATGGGAGAAGCGATCTTGCGGCAGATACAACTCGGGCCTGAATTGAAGCGTTGACGGACAAATATCTCTCTTCTAGATGCACTGCCACAGCCGCGTTTTCTACCGTTGCTGCTGATGTACCTGTGAAAGCACACATGTCCTTTGCTGCTACAGGGTCTCCTCCGTTTCCTTTTAGCCGTTCGCATCTACCAGCTGTAGACCGATGCTGCTGCTGCTGCTTCTCTAGCTGAGGAAGCTGTTGCTTCTTTTGTTTGTGCCGCTGCTGCCGTGCACGCAACACAGCAAGTTGCTGCGTTGCTGCTGCCTGTAACACCTCCGCTGCAGCGGCCCATTCTCTAAAGAGTTGTTTCTGTTGCTGTTGGTTGGAGGCATCTACATTTTGAAGTGCTGCAATAGCAGCAGCAGATTCAGGTGGTGTTGCTGAGGCAGTAGCGACGGTTGTTGCTGTTGCTGCTGCTGCTGCAATCGACGCAAGGACGCCGCGTGTTATTGCTTGGGTCTCTCTATACCACAGCAGGGAGTCATCGTGTAGGTCTGTTGCCGCGCTGCAGCATGCCAACCTCTCCGCCTGCAGCTGCAGCAGCAGCTGCTGGACCACTGGAAGCTCAGCTACAGCAGCAACCGCTGCTGCTACGGTTGCTGCAGCGACCGCGGCAGGGTCTGCCTGCCCCTCAACCAGAGGAGAAGGGGGAGTGCCACTTTGTTGAGAGAGGCACATAGCCTTTGCTTGTCCACAGCTGCAACTATTGCTGCTGCCGCTGCTGCTGCTGCTGCTGCACCTCCAGATTATCTGGGGGGAGCAGCAAACCGTCTGAGGAGAAAAGATGTTTGCTGCTTTGCTGCAAGCACTCAGTGGTGTCGAAGGCCTACCTCTCAGACCGCTGCTGGCAGTTGTGCTGCAACAGCAGCTCCATGCCTCTGCTTGATGCAGGTTCTTTACGCCTGCAGCAGGAGCAGGGCCAGGGGCAGTAGCAAAAGAAAGTGGGGTGCTTTCAGCTGTCTCAACTCCGAATACTGGAGGTTGTTGCGCCGGGTGTTTCAGTTGCTGTAACCTCAGCCCTTGCTGAGGGAGTAGGCACTGCTGCGACTGCGGCTGTGGCGCATGGGCCCTCTGTTGCTGCTGCGGTCTGAGGGGCAGCCACGGGCATTGCGATCGAGGGCAGATGGATACACCTCCATCGAAGTTCTCCTGTGTCTGTAATGGAGGATGCTGCAATAGCTGTAGCTCCTGCACCTCCTGCTGCACTGCCTGCTGCAGCTGCTGCTGCACCTTCCGCTGCGGTTCCTGTTTTATTTCCTGCTGCATCTCCTGCTGGAGCGACAGGGTTAGCTGTGGCGCCGCAGCTGCGGCATTTAGGCCGCAGCCACCAGCAATCAGACTGTTGCTTTTGCAGCAGGATTTACAGGTTCCGCTGCTGCAGACAGAATTGCCCACAGCTTCGCCAGCAACAAGGGAGGCTGTGCATGCCTCTTGCTGCCGTTCCTGCTCAGGCCGGTTCTGCTGGATCTGCCGCTGTTTGGTTTGCTGCTGCTCCCGAGCCTCCACCTCCGCCAACCCATCCTGGTGTTCTTGTTGATTCTGAAATTGCCGCTGATTTTGCTTGTGCAGTAGGGATAGAAGTTGCTTTTGCTGCAGCTGCGAGGAGCCACACAGGTTCCAGGGCTGCGCATCGACCTCGGACAATGGCATCTGCCTGCAGCTATCCCTTCGTTGACTCCGTATTCTGCTGCACCGCCTCTTGTCACTGCTGCTCCTCCTCCTATAGAAGCTAGTATTGCTGCTGCTGCTGCAGTTTCTGCTGCAGCGGGTACTGCAGTAGCTGCAGGTGCTACGGTGCTGGTGACGGCAGCAGGTCCCTCGGTTGCTGCCCGTCTGGTACCAGCGGTCGTCCAGAGTGTCGTTTAGCTGTGCACTCTGAATGCTCCCTGACGCCTGCTGCTGTTCTTGCTGCAATCTCTGCTGCTGCTGCAGCTTCTGGGGAGCTTGTGAACCCTCGTCAAACCTGTGCGTGGTCTCAGAAACACCCAAAGAGACAGCAGCAGCAGCAGCAGCAGGTGCGGATCCCCCTGCATCGTCGTTAAGACAGACCTGTACTGCGTGATGTGCATCCACTGTTACTACTGGGGAAGGCGGAGCAGCAGCACCTTCACCTGCAGCAGCCGCACTAGTAGGAACCGTATCCAGAGGAACCAAGCGAGTTTCCCCTACTGCGTCTGCGCCTTGTTCAGAATATGCCGCATGCGCTTGCTGAGGAAGCTGCTGCTGCTGCTGCACCAGCTGCTGCTGCTGTTGCACGTCGCTGCTGCTTGTTAGTCCGGAAATTGCTGCAACGGCTGCCCGTCTGTGTTGCGGTGAATTTGGACAGCAGCCAAGAGGAGGAGGAAGAGGAGAAGAAGAAGCAGCAACCTTTGTAGCTCGCAACGAAGGGGAATCGGGGGGCAGGCGCAGAAGGATCGAGCTACACTTAGCAGAAACATGGGAAGAAACAACAGTCAGAGCAGCAGCAGTATGTAATGGTGAAGCACCAGCGGGTGGTGCAGCAGCAGCGGGTGGTGGAGCAGCGGGTGGCGCAGCACCATCAGCAGTGTCAACTGCTGTAGCTAAAACAGGAGCTTTCGGGGACTGCATATTTTCTCCTGTGGACGTAGGCTCAAGGATAACCTTGACCTGATGGGCCAACAGCAGGTGCTGTTGCTGGTGTTGCTGCTGGAGATGCTGCTGATGCTGCTGCTGATTCATTGGCATCTGCTGCTGGTGCTGCAGGCTTTGCTGCAGCTGCTCTGGATCGTGCAGCAAAAGCTTCGTGGACTGTGCTAGCATGAGTGTTTGGGAGGTTCTGCTGGTGTTTGAGACGTCGCTGCTGCTGTCGTTGCTGTTGCTATTGCTACCGGCGCCGATGGTGCTGCTGCTACCCGGTTGCAACGACAGATGCGAAGACAGGCACGAAGACGGGTGGCGACAGAGGCAGCTACTGCTGAGTACCTCCGTCGACCTACTGATGAAATAATCCGGAAAAGGACAAATTGAAGCTGCTGCCAGCGATGGTTGGCCCCCTTGCTTCTTCCATTCCCTGCTGTTGTTACTGCTGTTGTGGTTGCTGTTGTTGCTGCAGTTGCTGCGGCCTTCTTTGTTGCTAGGAAATGTGCATGTATACTTTTCATCTACCAATAAATCCCCAAGACTACTGCTGCCGTTTTCTCGGCTGTTGCTACTGTTGTTACTACTGTTGGTGCTACTGCTGCTGCAGCCGCTGCTACTGCTACTTCCTGGGCTGCTGCCGCAGCCTTTGCTACTGCTGATTTCAAATGGCTGTGGAGTCCCTGTGGAGTGAATATACCCGCTAGGCTTGTGTTGCTGCTCGCTGGATTCTCCCTCCTGCTGCACTTTGTGCTGCTGTTGCTGCTGTTGCAGATGCCGCATCTGGGGCTCCTGCTCCACTGTTGCTCGTTCGGTTTGCTCTTGCAACTGCCTACGTTGCTCCGCCTTCCCGTACCGAAGCTGCTGCCCCTCTGCATGGTTCTGTTGCTGCTGCCGCCAGTGCGGCTGCCGTTTCTGTCGCTCGTTACTCAGGCTGCTACCCATCAAGCATGCCGTAGCGCTTGAGGATGCTTTGGATGCTGGCCCTTCCTGTGCTGCTTCTGGTGCTGCAGCTGCCCCTCCTGCTGTGCCTGCTGCTGGAGAATGCAATGGTAGGACAGCTGCGGCACGCCTTTGGGGAGCTGCTGCTGCGCGGGATATCATATTTTCTGCTGCTGTGGATCCTGCTGTTGCTGGGTTAGCTCTGTTGATTGAGTCCTCGGAAGGCTGGCGTTGGTCATCCACATCAGCAGTACCTGCATCAAGGCTGGGGTTGTCAGTGGTGGCAGCTGGAGGGGCAGCAAGAGTGCGTGAGGAGGGAATTGCTGCTTCTGTTGCTGCGGTGTCTTCTTGCTGCCTTTTGAGGGCCAACCGCTGCAGCCATTGCGTAAACCTGAGCAAGGCAGCAGCAGCAGCAGCAGCAGTAGAAACAGCAGCAGAAAGAGGTGCAGGTGTATCCGACGGCCCATTATTCCCTGTCTCTCAGTAGCCGCAACGCGAGAGGCTACTATGCCGCCTGGTGAGCTGCCGGTGCAGCTGCTGTCTGCGCATGTTGTGTGTCTGAGGTGTATTAGACTTCTTAAATGTGTCTACGTCAGCTGTATCACTTCAGCTGTATCCTCACCTCACGTTCCCTGCCTTATCTTTGGGGGCCAACTGATAGGCCTTGTCCAGCAGCAGAGATGGCAGCGAAGGCAGACACAAATGCAACACGGTCCGAAAGTGCCTTCTGTCACCCAACAGCAAATTCCAAACCCTAAACCCCAAACCCTAAACCATCTGACCACTCAAATTCGCAAAGCAAAGCGGGATGAAATGCCAGAGAGAACATTCAATGCCACAACACTCGAAAAAGCTTCGGAGTCCTGCAGCTACAAACCACACCAGCAGCAGCGGCAGCAGCAAAGCAGCATAGCAACCCAACCCGGACCTGCTGATACCCTGGGAAACCCGAGTACCGAAGAGTTTAAATGCCGCCTCAAGAGCTGCAACCCCTGATAACTTCTGGGAGGCAGCTTCCTCGGGTCCTCCTAGCTGCTGCTGCTGCGGCAGCGATGGCGGGTCCCCAGGGGCTGTCGCGGAGTTCACGACCTGCACTGCCCACTGAAGAGCCTCTTCGTAGGCCACGTGTCTCTCATTCATCAGCCGGCTAAAGAAGAACCCTGCAGTCAGCCTTCATCATCAGCAGCAGCAGGCGCAGCAGCAGCAGTGTCAGAACAGCAGCTCGTGCTCTGGTGCATGCACTTGTTGACTGTCTCCTACGAGCTGTAGATAGAACTGAAGGCATTACGACAAGCACAAAAAGGAACAGTAGCACGAGCAGCTGCAACTTCTGCTGTTGCTGCTGCAGCAGCAGCAACAGGCAGACCGTGTCCTTACACTGGCGTCATGCATTGCACCTGCAGCTGCTGCAGGGCAATGCCCACTTCGACTTGGGAGACATCGGCAGTAGCCAAATCTACAAAGGCTTCCAGCCATGCCAGAGTCAATTTTCTTGCTGCAAGCAACGGCAGCAGCAACAGCAGCAGCAAAAAGAAGCCACCGTGAACAGCAGTAGCACCAGTAGTCGGTCAGCCCCAGGTGAATATTTAAAGCAGGGTTAGCAGCAACAGGGATTTTCGCAACACCCATTCGCAGACAAGCTGATCATTTACACATGTCTGCATGCACGTTTTCTTGCACAACCAGAAGCAGCAGAAGCAGCGGCAGATGCAGATGCAGAAAGCCCTAAGCGCCTAACCAAGTATTGCGTTTTCTTCTTTTTCTTTCACTCCCTCATTTTCAGAAGCGACAGTCTCTGCCGCCGCTCCCTTTTGTTGTTGCATATTGTTGCTACCAGCAGCGACTGGATCAGCAGCAGCAGCAACGGAGGCAGCAGCGGTGACAGAAGTAGCATTAGCAGCAGCAGCACAAGCATGCGCATCACTCCCCTCTTCCTGCCCAACGGATGTTTCCGCAGGAAAATATGCTGTCTGCTCCCACGCCTGCTGTAGCAGCCGCAGAGTGGACGGGTTGTCGGCGAGCCTGAACCAGCGACATCAGCATACCAGTGACAGCAGCAGCAGCACTAGGCGGCTAGAAGGGCATTAGCAGACAGTCGTGTCAATCAGGACTTATCTAGTGTCCATGGCACCAGCCCCCGTGTAGCTACGGGACAAATTAGCAGCAGCAACACCAGCAGCAGCAGGTAGTGGTAGTGGTGCCGCGCGTTGTTGTAGTTGACCAGCGCAGTGTGTATGCACCTTTCTGCGATTCTTCCGAGGATGACGTGGAGGTACTCATCAGTAAAGGCAGCAAACGAAGGGCTTCTTGTTTCTCTTCGCACATGTGGCATACCATTTCCTTGCTGCTGCTGCTGCTGCTGTAGCTGTTGCTGGTGTTGCAGCTGTTGTTGTTGAGTGCCACCGTCCATCAGGTCATCTACGTCGAAGAGATCTGAAAGAGGCTGTTGGTGTTTGTTGTCTCCTTCTGTTGGAGGTTGCTGTTGGCCCGTTTCGTTTTGTTGCATGTATTGATGTTGGAGTATTTTTTCGCCTTGGGTGGTCGTCCATTTCTCTAGCTGCTGCTGATGTTGGTGCTGCTCCTGCTGCTGCAGCTGCTGCAGTTGGTTAAGATGGAGTGTTCGTGAGAGTTTGTGGGTGTGTCTGTTTGCAAATGCCTGTAGGAATGGATCTCGCAAGAGGTTTGCTGGTGTGGGCCTCCGTGCGGGGTCTTTCTCTAGCATAGCGGAGAGGAGGCGGGAGAGATGGGGTGTATATACACTGCTGATGGGTTCAACAGGAGCGAATGCAATCATCCATACAAGAGAAAAAAATGAATCTCCTGCAAAGGCACTTCTATATGTACACAGTTCATACAGCACACAGCCAAGAGCCCATACATCACTCTTTACACTATAAGGACGCGACTCTAACATCTCCGGAGACATATATTGAGGTGTCCCTACAGCAGTTGTTGCCACCCCTAGTGTTGCACTCATTACTTTACTTATACCAAAGTCCCCTATCTTTAGAGACACCTTCCCTGATATACCAATACTCTCTACAGAGACATCCCCTCCTCTGCTCCTGCTGCTCCTGTTGCTCCTGTTGCTCTTGCTGCTCCTGCTGCTCCTGCTGCTCCTGCTGCTCCTGCTGCTCCTGCTCCTGCTCCTGCTGTTCCTGCTGCTACTACTGCTGCTACTGCTGCTGCTGTTCGTAGCAGTATAGCCATCTGTCTCCACTGCCTCCTCACAGAACACAGGAGACAGCAAAATGTTGCTGGGCTTGAGGTCTCGATGCAACACTCGCTGCGAGTGTACGTACTCCAGGCCCCGCAGCAGCTGCAGCAGCCACTCTAAGATCTGCTGCTCCTCTAGCAGCTCTGCGCCATCCTCTGCTGATGTTAGTGCTGCTGTTGGTGCTGCACCTGCTGTTATCGTTGCCGCTGCCCTCGCTGCTGCTACAGTGTCTCCTCTCCCCACAGCGCTGCGCTGCGAGGCCCCCGACGGTGGGCCCCCCCGCAATCTAGGGGGTCCCCGTCTCTTGTCAAGAAAGGACGTGAGGTCTCCTCCTGAGCAGTACTCCATTACAATTACTAAGAATGTGTTCAAGATCACGAATGACTCAACGCAACGAACAACAAAAGGGTGCCGCAAGCGCTTCATTAGCTGCAAAACAAACCACAAGACACAGGCATACCCATATAGCAAATAGGAGACAGAAACAGATGAGATGAGATTGATGAAAAGGAGAAAGATATAGACAAGGGAGAGCCTGACACAGAGTAGCAGGAAACTGACACTGCCAAGGAGGGGAGACAGGCAGACAGGGGAAGAGAGACAGACGAAGGGAAAGAGACACATCAGGAGAAGGAGGCGGAGACAGAGGCGAATGACAAGATATAGGCACCGGCACAAACACATATATACACACAGCTGTAAAGGCAGACTCACACCCCTACAGCACAGGAGCAGGGATAGGGCAATCGGTCCACTAAAAGCTCTGTGGAGACCAGCATATGGAGCTGCTGCTGCTTTGGCTGTTGCTGTGACTGCATGCAGCGACCGCAGCAGCACCAGAAGCAGGTAGTGGCGGCCCTTACCTCTGCTTCCTGGAGGCTGAGCTTTCTGTCTCTTTCATCGAGACAACTTAAGTCAATTTGCTTCGCAAGCCACTCGCTCGAATCCAACAGTCGACGCACTTTGTACGCAACTCCAAATTGACCTCGCCCTGCAGCAACAGCGCAGCAGCAGCAGAAGCAGTGGCAGCAGCAGCATCGGTAGCAGCGGTAGCAGCAGTTGCTGTAGCTGCACCAGTCTAACCAGCCAGTAGCAGCAGTGCCAGTACCAGTAGTGCCCGCAGCAGATTCACGAACGGTGAAGCTCGCATGTATATGATCTTCAGCACTAGCGCAATCAACAGCAGCAGCAAAAGCACCAGCAGCGGCTCACCAACGAACGCTATGATTTCATATCCATGGGGGGTGAAATCGACACTGCTGTCCCGAGGGGGGAGCTGCAGGGTCAACATTTTGCTGCTTCCAACTGATGTTGCTGCTGTTGCTGCTGCTGTTGCTGTTGCTAATGCTACTGCTCCTGCTGCTACTACCGCTGCTGCAAATACTGCAAAGTTGCTGTTTAGGGGATGTAAGGAGCTCGCGTTGCTGTTGATGCTTTTTGGCACCGAGTCTTGCTGTTTCTTCCAGTCCTAGTGGTTAGGCTGTTGCTGCACGTGGTGAAGATGTAGGCTTCGCTCTGCTGCAGCTGCTTCTGTTGAAGCTGTTGCTGTTGCTGCTGCTGTTGTGTCTTCGCAATAAGGGATCTCTGGGCATTCTTTGCAGCGCGACTGTGCTGCGCTTCTGTTTTACCAGGCTTCTGCTGCTACTTATTCTGTTGATAGTGCTGCTACTTATGTGCTGTGCTCTACCTGCAGCTTTGAATGCTGTGTTAGACCTGCTGCAGCTACTGTTGTTTGTGCTGGTGCTGCTGCCGCTGCAGCAGCTGGTGCTGCTGGTCTACAGGGTGCTGCTGCTACTGTTTGTTGCTAGCTTCAGTGTCGTCTTGGGTTTGGGGCTCTTCCCCTCGGCTGCTGCCAGCTGATGCGACTGCTGCAGCAACAGCAGCAGCAGCAGCGGATACAGCAGCAGCCCCTCGGCGAGCCCCCCGTAAGATCGTGGCAAACAAAGACACGATGCTGGTCAAGCAGCAAGACAGCCAAGGAGGAAGAGCGAATCCGGTTGGTGTTCCTTCTTCCTCTTGCAGAGTTTCTGCTGCTGCTGCTGCTGCTGATGCTACTTCTGCGGATGCTGCGTCTACGGCCTCTGCTGAGGCGGAGACTGATGGTGCGGCCGTGGGCTTTGCTGTTGTCGGTGGTGATAGTGGTTTTGCTGCTGCAGGTCCTGCTGCGGATATGATTGACGGTGTTGCTGATTCGTCTTCTGCTACTGCTTCTGCTGCTACTGCTTCTGCCTCTACTGCTGCTCCTTTTGCTTCTATTCCCTGTGAGAATGCTTGCTCCGCTTGTTGTGTTGACTCAATGTATGATTCTGGGCCTTGTGCTGCTGATGTTGCTGCTGCGGCTGCGGCGGCAGCGGCAGCAGCAGCCGCCGCAGCCGCCGGGACGAATGTC